CATTAATTCATAATATTTATAAGGAGAGATACCTTAGAAAACATTTTCATAAGTTCTTCGTACAAATTCGTGCAGTAAAGCCCACAATCGTAATTTAAATATAACTCAGCGGGTAAACCGGGTATTCTCCACAATCTTACTATAGCTTCTACAAATCATAAAAATTTATATCGTCAGTATATATCGTGCATTTACATATTGTATTATATTTGCTAAAATAAAGATGTACCAAGGGCTAATTCCCGTTGCTCGTATGATATCCTATTAGATTCGGAAACAACTATTTCCATTAATTTAATTAAATAATGTTCCAGTTGAAATTTTAAATGTTCTCTTTGCGATTCAAATAGCAGGAATGATACTTGAAGATCTACAGCGAGAATTGACAATCTGTCTGTTCCAAGTAGCTAATAAATTCAGAACATAATAATATTTATCTCATTTCCTCATTAATAAACATGAAATGTAATTGTAACAGTTAATTAGTTTCTCTTACCAAGATTAGATTTCTACACAAATCATCCTTCACAAGCGCAAGTAAAGATGAAAAGTTAGAAAGAGCGTCGGCGGCGATCTCCAATGCCACTTGTAATAAGCTAAGACCCAAGTGGGTCATAATTTCATTGTTTTGCTTGTCGAGAGGACTACATAGAGAAATAAGAAATCTGAATAGTTCACGAACGCATAACGCGCCGTACGATGCCCGCTGTTGTAATGGAATAAATCGTATTCCTTGACTATTCACATATTCCTCGATTTGCTCAGATTCCTTCACTTTAGATGTCTTGGACACATTCTCGTCTATCGATAAATCTTCCACGCTATCAATCGGAGATTGAACCAAATCGATGCTTTTCTCCTCGTCGCCTGCACAATCATCCGAAAAATGTGAAGACGTAGATATTATTACAAAATTATTTATTTTAATGTTTAAATTGAGTAAAAGTCAAACTTGATTTTTGTAAAACAATTTGACCCTTATATTTATTTTAAAATGGCAAAAAAGACAAATACTTTGACTTTCTGAGACAGATTGCTTAATGGAAGATTCGGATTCATCTGTATTCTTCTGATCAGCTGTATCTTCTTTCTCTATGCTCTTATTTTCTGCCGAGACTGCGATTTTATTCTCCACATCGACATTTTCAGCATTGTTCGCTTCAACTGTTTCTGTCTCGTTCTTAATATCTCTGTTGCTTACATCTTTATCAATCTCCTGCTTCTTATTAGCCTCCTGATTATCCACTACTTTACAGTTGTTAAATGAACTTTGTTCATTTTCAGCAGTATCTTTGTTAATAATTTTAGCAGTATCTTTGGTAATAATTTTATTCTCATTCTTATCATCCTCGTTTTTGTCAATACTTCCATGATTCAATGATCCCTGCATATCAACGATATTACCAACTGGTGAGACGGGAGTGGTAGCCAAGTGACTAGCTCGTATTTTGTCAACTGAACTTGAAATATGTGGTTCTTTCTCGTCAATGTCATCCGTGGTAGATTTGGACTTTTGTTTCATATAACTTTTGTATTTTCTACTCTTGCTGCGAGTATTTTCCATATTGTTTGCTCTCATTTTCTGTTAAAAGATATATATATAAAACACTGTATATGATATACAGATACTTATAAATATAGTAAACTCACTTTTATGTTCGGCAAAGCTCTGATATCGTCGACAAATTGAGGTAACCTGGTGAATAAATGTTGAACCATATCTCTCAGGCAATGTTCTGCGGTTTTTCTAAGTATTTCTGTAAAAATATCTTGTTATATTTGCGATTTGTTAGCAAAATGTGAAACAATATAACTCACCACTGAGACGTGTTTCAAAACATATCCTAAAGCAACTCAGCATAATTTCGCATACACTTTCATTAGAAAGATAATCGCCAGCAGATGAGAGCATGAGGGCTGTCAGAACTTGCAGAACTCGCATGAGGACCACTCCATCACCAGAAGCATCAGCACCTACAAACCTCGCATGTGTAACTGCATCAGCAATCGCTTCTACGCAAGATGCTATAGTAGGATGATTAGGATCTAAAAAAAACAACAATATATTAAATTATAAAAAAAGAAGAAACATTATTAAAACTAATAATGATTGAAACTAACCAACGAGACCATAAGAAATTATCTTATTAACAGCAGACAGTGCTAAGCTAGTCACAGGTCCTGTAGTTTCTTCAGATCTTATAATTTCCAGAAAAGGAGTGAGAAAAACTGCAGGCTCCAACTGTGATAGATCTCTATGTTCATTTAACACTTCCTTTAAGGTATTCAAGCCTTTCATGAGAATGTCCTGATTGTCATCCTAAAAATTAAATTAGAATGAACTTTCTAGAAAGATTTAGTATAATTCTAGAAAGATTCTAGATAAATTTTAATCTTAATTTGATCTACTTTATATTTTCTATTAGTTTTAAGAATTAAAATTAAGAGACATTGGTACAAATGGGCTACATGGGATAAGCGTCAAAGTGTCAGCTGCTAGAACAATATCACAATATATCCGATTTGATAGAAGCGATAATAAATGTGTATTCCCACGCAGATGCTAATCGTCTTGTCCATTTTCATCATTGTATATTAACTTCAATCTCGATTTAATTTATCAGCTTTTTCTAATTCTTAAAATCAAAGAAAGAGCAATAAAGCAAGTTAAACCAAGATTAAAGTTAATTAATATTGGTAGAAATGGACATCGTTATACAGATAAAGGTAGCTAAGATTCTAACCTGGTGAGACGACCATCGGGCACCACGTCGCATCGCCGTCCCCAGGAGACATACTTCGCCCTCGACGACGTACAAGCCGCCCCTACAGGGGCCCACAGGCCTCGTGATTCTGTTCATCCTCGTGTGATCTCGTTACGCCATAACGAAAGCCCAAATGCGATCAGCACAACGCGGTCAAATAAATTCGAACACCGGACGTTCCTGAAAATCCGTCACGTCAAGCTGCCACTTCCCACCACCGTCTCAACTTCCAACGCGGTAACAATCGATCTATCCATCAATCATGTCGACCACGAATCTCGCGGCCAAATGGCAACGTTCGATTAGTCGATATTATTGAGAGCGTGACGTTGCTGCACCTATCGCAGGCTCATAGCCCTCTCTATTTTCCGGCCAACAAAGACTCGACTAAATTTCACAAATTCCTGAAATAATGTCCGCAATCACAAAAGTCTAGATTTTCAAAAGGCAAAGCACCAGGAGAATATAATCGGCAGGATCGATAATTTTGAAAAATTCCAGAATATGATTCCACAATTTTCAACAGGACTCTATAGAATTTTCAGAGTTTTGAAGCAAAAATGAAAGCTTTTTATCTGTTTATGAATTTAATATTAAAAGAAGCTTAAAAAGAATTGAAAAGTGTTACAAAGATTTATCATTGTACAATTAAAAAGTTGAAAATAAATCAATAACATAAACTGAGAATATATTAAATAATTATTAAGAGGAAAAGAACTTTGGCACCTTGAACCATTGTTTCTGATAACATATAATTGCCATATACAATTTTCTTGAATTTATATAAAAATATTTATATAATCCAAAAAAAATATTTATATAATCCAAACTAAGCTTCGGATAAAGTTTTGCAAAAGGAAAAATTATTTCAAAATTTAGTTAGGAATTTGTTGTTTAAAGGACAAAAGTTTGTTCTGCATAAATTCCAAAATAATGTCGATAATATTCCACATTTGCACATCCCTGATTCTTGTACTATTTCAGAAATTCCCATTACACAAACGCTTTTATTCTTACAAAGTATACATTCTTAATTTTTTCCTTGTTCGTGATATCACTCGTCGACAACGCCCCATGTGCACGAGACTTAATGCTAACGGAAAACTCATTGTCGGTCAATCACATCAACAACAGTCGATGTAGTCGTGTTTTGTATATTGAAGTGGTTCTATCGACTTTTTAGTTGTTAGTTAATCGTTTTCTTGCGGGGAGTACTTATAGTACTTACAATAATATAATCACAGTTGCAGGTAAGAACAAATCTTAATCTTCTGATGTTTACCGCATATCATTAACCACCACTGTGTCCCGTATAATCAATTATTATCGAGATTCCTTTGTATTCTCACATCCCGCATCCTTGCTTTTATGCGTAGATTTAGGACATTTGCTGATGATTGTCATTTTTTTTTTTACTGAGCACAGTCGACAGAACAACAGAAGGTCGTTCACTAATGACGATGTCGATTAAAATCAGCAAAACGCTATAACAAAATCAAGTGTAAAATAATTGGATGGCAAATTGAATATAAATTGTCATTCTTTAATAAATTCTTTCTTTAATAAATTTTGATAGATTTGATAGTAAATTGTTTTTTCTTTTAATGATATAGCACAATATAGCACAAACTTTGCAGTTATATTGTAATAATGTTATTAGAGCTTAGGAATTTTTCAGAATTATCCATCAGATAATTTAACGTTTAATTGATTAACGACATGGATAATCGAATATCGTCCGTTGTTTCTAATCTAATCTCTATTAAATGATAAAACTTATTCTATTCATGTTAATAAAATAGTAGATACTATCTAAATTAATGGAAAGATCATTTTTTAATTTAAAATTAAACTTACTAACACAAAATGAATAAATTCTATATAAATTCCTATAACATGTAATTGTTGAAAAAGTGACTAATCAATTCAAGTAGCATCTAAACAAGTATGCAATACCAAAATTCTCGTTTCTTAGAAAAAAGTTTCTATATTACCATTATAGAAAATAAATTCTGTAGTGTCACATCCCAAATAAACATTAAGTATTTTTTGAATCTTTAACTGAATTGTGAATGTTAACACATGTAAGGCTAAATTCTTAGACGTAATTGAATGGATGATCTCATAGAATGGGTTCAGTTTCCAGTACGAGGTCTATCATGCCTTCGACACGAGATTTTGTCAATGAACTCATCGCAAAGGACTCAGTCGTCATATTCTCCAAGACATCTTGTCCTTACTGCAAAATGGCCAAGCAGGTTAATAATTATTGCCAATGGTTAATAATAAGCTTATAAACTAATTGTTAATTATTGAAGTTGAATTTTCTATATATTTATCCATTTTAATCTTAAAATTCGAATCGAATCTTTGGACAGGTGTTTGATTCCTTGAAGAAAACGTATACAGCGATAGAACTGGACGATAGAGAAGATGCCCAGGAGATACAAGACGTATTGGGCGAGATGACGGGCGCCAGGACAGTGCCCAGGGTATTCCTCAATGGAAAATGCTTAGGAGGCGGTACCGATGTGAAGAGACTGCATGAAAGCGGCGAACTCGAAAAAAAATTTTGAATTTTTATCGACGAAGTGTATTATGATCAACTATAAATAATTTGTTATAACGAGAAAATTTATTCTAATGCAACAAATAAAAAATATCGCTGTACTTATTTTTAATGCGAGAGAGAAGAAATGAATTTTTAAAGAATTTTTCGTTTTCTATTTTGATTTTTATCTCGATGTGTTCTTCATTCAGAATTAATAAAAAAAATCATTTATTGTCAAGACACATGTTAATTAATATCGTTCTTATTCGTAACTGTGTTCGCTTAAATCTTACTGTATATAGAAACAGTCCATGAAATCAAATAAAAAAACTCAAACTCTAATTCAATTGGAAGAATTAATTCAACTTATATAGTAAAATTTCTTACATGTTAAAAATAATGAAAAAACTAATTTTATTCAATATTAACAATATGTATTATATGACGGATTAACCGATTAGTTAAGTTAATTGCAATTCCAATGGAGCTATTTTTGAAAATCAATTACAATCGATATATAAAAATCGACAAACTAAATTACATAAAGAAATCCTTAAATTTATCATATTTCTCAGAATTATCCTAATTAGACAGATTTAGGAAATAGAAAAGTTTCTGCGCGACAATGTTGTGTGGTATAAAACGCAGGCCCGTTCCTCTGACTGTACTTTCTGCACCTCGCAGCTTTTCTCAGCTGATCTCATCCCGAGGCAGGTGAAACAACAATCTGGCGCAATAATAAAATCGACGTTGTCAGCGGTACGGGGCACCGCGGGGCACCACGTGTCCATCTCGATGACGGCGGTGAGCATATACACATGCCCATCTAAAAATAGTTCGTTGAGTCAGAGTTGCAATCCGATCGGCGCAGACCCGGGAACTTGAACGGGCCGATCGGTCGAGAGAGAAGGATAGAGAGAGAGAAAGAGAGGAATGGACTTGTTGCGATATCGCAAGATCATAATCTACGCATTGACATTTTTGGCATACGCCTGGTCAGGCTATGGCGCTGGGCTGTTGGCGAATTTACGGGACGCCGTGCTGGCGGCGGAGACCGTCTTCCACGACTTGTTCGCCAATGCCATAACAGTGGCGAGGAAGATCAAGGACGTACACGAGGTGTTTGACGCCGCCGTGGAGGAGAACTGCGTCTTCCAGTGTCCCGACGGTGAGTATCTCCTTCGAGACGCGATTTATTCGTCGCAGCCGCGTTATCAGGTTATCTCTCCGCCGCGCGCCGCTATTGGTCGATTCCTCGATTGATTCGCATTCGGAGTATTCCTATTTCTATTACACCTCCTACACCCTGTCCCTTTCCGAGGGTTCTTATGTCCATTTGAAATGGAGATGTCTCCTCGTTTCTGATTTTTTGAATGAATAAAATATTAGGTTTTGTAAATCATAACTTTTTTTTTTAATTTCGGGGATTCAAACAACCCCAACTCTCATCCTCACCTTGGATAAAAATTCAGGATAAAAATTTATTTTTATAATCAAAGGTAGAAATGAATAAAAATCTTTCTTTCCATATGTTAAACAATTAAAAACAAATAATTTTGCTCATTTTTTTAGTCCCAAAAATTAAAAAAAAATAAAGAGTATTAATTAAAAAGTAAATTAAAGAGAAGATTGAAGTTAAGTTATATCAGTAAAATGAATATGTGAAATTAACGGCTGACATGGTGCATTGTGATTGGACAGGCGATGTTGCGATTGAAAAATGGCGCGATTATTCAAATCGTTTCAGGATCCACACCGAAGGCAGACTGGAATCACAAGTCACGTAGCGACGGATGCGGTTCCCTCGGGATTCAGGTTAGCGCTCTCTCGAGAAATAGATAAATAAAATTATTGATATATAAGTAAGCTGCGCTAAGAAATTTTTATATATTAAAAATTTTTATAATTATTATCTTTAGTTTCTTAATTATATGAACAAGTAATTATAATCGACATTTATAATTTAACATAGCTCGAATTCATCGTCAAATTTATATTAAACAATCCGATTTACGTTAATTGAACATACAATTTAATAGCAAAATCAATTTGCAATTATTTATAATTTAACTTACAATGTTAAATATAAAATATTTTTGCTTTTGTATTAAATCGCGGCACACACACACACCGCCCCCCCACCCCCACACACACACACTTTATATTAATATGGTGTCATTAAAAATTGTTACAATATTTATAGGTGAACCAAGACTATCTTCCGCTTGCTGAAATGACGAAGTGCTGCGACTTCCATGATATTTGTTACGACACTTGCAACTCGGACAAGGAGAAGTGCGATCTGGAATTCAAGAGATGCCTCTACAAATATTGTGACTCGTATCAATCCACCGGCGTCAGCATTGTAAACACATGTAAAGCTGCGGCTAAAGTCCTCTTTACGGGAACGATCACGCTGGGTTGCAAGAGTTTCCTTGACGCTCAAAAGGAAGCTTGCTATTGTCAAGGCAAACCGAATAAAAATAAAAAATCAAAGAAAGCGGCTCAAGCCGGTGGAGAATTATAAGTGTAATATGATAGGGACAATACGATATATTTATACAACAAAACATATTAAATAGAATAGAAATTATACTTCATCCTCTAACAAACAAAAATTAATTTTGGTGGTAAGTCGTTAACTATACTGTAATTTATAAAAAACTTTAAATTAAATGTAAATTGTAAATTTTGTAACAAAAACAGTTAAGTTTCTTGTGATATTATAATTGTAACAATGTTAATTATGAAATTATGTTAAAGAATAGGAAATAGAGAATAGGATAGCAGCATATGTGGTTTGAATTTGATTATGTTGTAAATATTGAAAATGATTCTTTTTGTATGTATCAATATGAATCGTATCAAAATCGTGCTTGTCTTTTGAAAAAACAGTGGACGGTCTTTCATAATACAAATGTCAATGTGGATCGATGTGACAACTGTTCTCATGCAAAATCACCGAGTCGGAACCAGTGTAGACAATAAATAATAAATTATTAAGTAACGCTAATTGTCGCGACAATCATTGATGTCTCCGTAAGAAGAGACGGAAATGGGAAACATCAACTCTACACAACCTCCAAAAGCTCAAAAAGATCGGAAGAAAGAGAGTAGCAAGTAAGATAATTTCTACTTTATGACGAAATAAATTCAATGACGTAAATTCAATCTTTTTCCTTAATATTCTCGACACATGACATATTCGAGTACAAATAAGATTAAATACAATATGTTAATTACCTTGCATCAGGTCAGAGAAAAATATTTTTCGCAGAGCTTTCTTGCAATTTGTGTAGAAGTTTTTGTTGACATAGAATATAATTCCTTCTTTTTAAAATTTCTTTAAAGTATAATTATTTACATAATATGAAAAACACAAAAATTACCTTCCTTTGACGTTATGCTTAAGATGCTATAGATTTTAAAATTTATTGACAAGATCAATGGAGCACGCAAAAGCGTACTTTGCAGTTTCACCTTTCACGTAGCGCAGATACTGGAAAAGCTAGACAACCTGCGACCGGAAACAAAATCTCCACTCAAACTTCACAAGATAAACATGTCGTTCGGCCTCGTACGACGAATCCTTTCATCATTTTTTCCTGCAACTACGCAGCAAAAAGCCGAACGAACATGCCACTGTGATAGCACGAGCTGCAGGCAAATTGTGGTCCCAGATGACTCCCGAACAGAAAAAGAAATATGTGGATCTTGCCAATGCGGAGAAGAAACGACGCCAGGAAAAGAAATGGAAGAGAAATCGTTTGTCCGCACGTTCGAGGTAATCTATGGAGAAGAGATTAATGTATGACGCATATGATTTGAGCCAAGTGAATCAACCAAGATAAAAGTGTACTAAATATCCATATTTATAAAATTCAATTGAATATAATTTTGTATAATTTTTACATTTATTGTATTGTAACTAAACGTGTGTAAAAATCTAAGAATTGTTTTTATATAATTTATCATTACCAACTTGTTTCACTTTCGCTCAGAAGCTTTTGTAAGTGTGAGACAGAGATCTGATTGCATTTCTATGTCCAGGATGAAGTAACAAAGCTCGTTGAATAGCAAAGAGGATAATCCTACACGCCACACATTGTCGTATACGTAACATCTAGAAAGGCGACCAAAGGCACGATCACGTATTTTTGATTTCTTTTTTATTTGTTAGTAGTCTTTTTTAGATCTATGTACAATAAATATTGATGCATTTTTATACATTATTAATTATCTTATCATTCGATCATTATCCTAAGCTAGGCGATCCGCCGTTCTTTCGTTCTCTCGTCTGAAAAAATTAAACTCGTAACGTTTCGTACCATAAATATATTATATTTTTTTTTTTTGTCGTCACGACCGTTCCGCGAAGCGTCGCCCACAACGAGGGAGGGAAATTACGCGGGGTTCAGGGTAATGTGTGTTCGACGGCGGGGGAGGGGGGGGTAACGCGGACAGCGCGTGGTTTACGTTACCGTAGCTCTTCTTTCCTTCACTTCGCGAAGGAAAGCCGACGTACGCTTTCTCTCCGCGATTTCGATACAAAAAATAATTTCGGCACGAGCCTCGCGACGCTTCGTGGAAGAGCCTGATTGCGCGCTCCGTTATTCTTTCCGAAACTAGAGCTACCCTCTCGCGATATTAGATAATAAAAACATACAATAATGTGAATACCGAATGAATGACATTGTATATGCGACAATTAAAGTATAACGCATGGTTACGTTTGATCGTGTGAGTACAATGTGTGTACGTGTAAATATATATGTATACCTGTATTCCGTTTGTTTTATGTGCCCGCGCGCGTTTTTTCATCATTTGCCACAGTAATTAATGATTACTGATTAACGATAATAATAACTGATAACAACTGATAAAAATCATGTGAACGATGGCGCTGACGATCGAGATTGACAATTTTACACCGGTGTGACGATGTCGGCGACAATTTAATTTTCCGTAATAATACAATGAGGATTATCATAGCGTTACGCAGTTACCTTTTCTTCTTTATGATACAGTAAAGTACAAGTGTGCCAACTTAAACAACAACGCTCAACAATTGATAATATCAAACAGAATATTATTCGTAAATATATTTATATATATTTATATATATATATAAATACATAAAACGTAACACTGCTGCGGTTTTCGCGAAGGAATGCCCTACTAAAAATAGGTGTCCGCATTTCTTTCCACTTTTACTTTTCTTTCCTCCAAATTATCGAAAGATAAAGAGGCGATATCTCGACCGACTGAAATTAATCTGTCCAAGATAATGTTTAGCCTCCTTTCCTTCCTTCCTTCCTTCCTTCTCTTCCTTTTTTTTCTTTTACCTTAAATGCACGAATTTACGGACTCGTGCCTTCGAAAGATCACCGACCGATAACTATGATTAAATTGTACCTTGTGTGCAATCTTTGTCGACAAGTTAAGAATCAATTTAATACGAGCCTTCCTCGAGCACGGAGAAGAGAAACGTTCCGCTGCCAACTGATAGAGAGGCAGGAGGATGCATGTACATCGTTTATTCTCCCTTACTTTCTCCTTCTGTTTTTCTGAAATTGAACATGAGGTTAAAATGATAATGGGCGTGTGTGTTCACGTAGCGATCTCGGATACTGATGTATACGCGCTAATACACTTCGCGAATATATTTTGCTGGGATAAAAAACTAAAATATAGTTGTATGTTTGACGAATGAATAGCCCAACGCAGATTCTGCTTCTACTACACACAAACGTGTCAGAGAGTTCTCTCACGAGAGTTCTCTGCCGCACTGTCCATCGCAGCGACCGACGTGTGTCGTTGATTACCGGCCAATTGCAGCAAACATCGTCTTAGGAGGCTCCATGGAGAGTTACCGTCGCAAGTGGATCAATATAATACTCAAAGAGAAATAGATTCGCGGCGGACAGAGTCGGTGGAGGCAGCGATTGATCGGGAAAGTACAAGTGCCCGCGGCGCCGGTCATGCGGCAGGAGATCAAAGGTGAGTTGCCGACGATGGTCGTATCGAAGAGAGCGTTAACTTGTCGCGCGAGAATGTTCGTTCGTCCATCCGAACGTCGAGAGAGATCGATCCGCTCGAGATAGGCGACGAGGGCTAGCGCGGCCTCATGGTGCTGTTCAGGGGCTGCATGAGGCTACCGTTGATGTAGCCGTGGTACGTGGTGTAGACAGCCGCTGGGTTCTGTTGGTGCGGATCCTGCGGATACGGCGCCGGTACGTTCACCACGCCAACCGGCAGTTGACTCGCTTGGTTCATGAAGCCCCCAAGCTGCGCCGCCTGATTCATGTAACCGGTCGCCGGCTGTGCTACCCGATAGCCGTACTGGGCCGCCATGAGATTCGTGTTGAGGGCAACATTTGGGCTGACGCGGCTCGCGGCGCTCTGCATCTGCGGGCAGGTGCTACCCGGGTCCAAAGTCTGCCGATAGAGACTCTCACTGGGATACGGCTGCGTGAGCGATGGCATATTGTTCGCGGACGAACGTGAAGTGGATCGGCCGGGCGGCCCGGGCGTACCGGGAGGCATGGTGTTGACGTTGTAATAATTTTTTGGATAGCCCAGGCCAACCTGGGGTGGCGTCGACAATTGTCGCGAGGTCTGCGGCGGCGTCATGGTATGTGGAATAGGTGGCGGCGGTGTCAGGTTCATTGCCGGAGGTGGCGTAGGAGGTATCATCTCCAAACCGTTGGTCAGCTGCTGCAGTTTTGCCAGACTACATGAATTCGTAGTCTGATGACTACCACCGGAAGCGGAGAGTGGCGTTGGCGCTGGGGTATGGGAATGCGGCATCGCGCTGGTTTGTATATAGAAATTCGTGGCAGTGGTGCAGGGCGTCGGGGCACCGGAACGACTGCTTCGATGCTGGATCACGTAGGTGTTTTGCGTGGGGAAACCCTGCGAGCCCGCTACTGCCATGTAATTGCCCTGTGAGATCACCGCCATGTTGTGCGAATGAGCGGCATGCGGAGTATGCGAGTGTGGATGCGGCACTGCCGGTGGCACGCTCATCGATGACGGTGACTGCTGATACTGCGGCGGCACCGCGACGTGTGCCGTGTGCGCCACGGTGCTGCTGCTGTGACTGGTCTGTGACGTCGCGGCGCTGTGCTGAGAAGTCTGACTGGTGTGGGACGTCGGCGGCGTGGCCCGATGCGATCTACTACTCTGTTGCGTCGACCTAGATCTATGTGTAGTTTGCGAGCCACTGGCACGCTTGCTGTGTGATTGAGATTGTGTTTGCTGCTGTTGCTGCTGCTGTTGCTGTTGCGATGGTTGTTGAGGCTGCGGCTGTTGTTGATGTGCTGATTGTTGTTGTTGCTGCTGCTGCTGCTGCTGCTGCGATTGCGTTTGCTGAGGTTGACTGTGCGCCATACTCTGATTCTGCGCCTGCTGTGCCAGCGATAGTTGCATTGGCTGTGGCGTATGCGATTGGGGCATTGGCTGTGGCGTGTGACTCTGCGGCAACGGTTGCGGGCTCTGCGTAGGTATACTCTGTGGCGTATGCGACTGCGGCAACGGCTGTGGCGTGTGGCTCTGCGGAAGCGGCTGTGGACTTTGAGTCGGAATACTTTGCGGAGTATGTGACTGCGGAGTACGCGGTTGCTGGAGAGATTGCGGGGTATGCGGCTGATGCATCGGATGCATACCCGGATGATGAGCTGATGGGGTATGCTGTGGCATTGAGCAGTCAGCATACGCCACTTGTGGCATATTAACTGGCACCGACGAGGTAACTGGCGTCGCAATCTGCATGGAAACTGAGATCGGCACGCTTACCGGCGGGGGGATAGATGGTAAAGCGCTAGGCGGCCTCTCCACACTGTTTTGCGATGCCAGATCGCTGGCTATGGAAGTAGGTGACTCCAGGCCCAACTGACTCACATCCAAACTGTCGCACTGACCGTAATGCAACGAGTGCACGGAGTTAGTCGTCGAGTCAGGAGTATAAACTCCCATGGACGGCAGATCCGGTTGCGACGGCGGCGTTCTTTTCACCGAACCCGGATTATCCAAATGCGGCGTGGTCTTGCCACTCTCAGGCGAATGTTGCTTCAGTTCTTCCGTTTGATTCTGTAATTGCAAAGTTGTGTCCTGATGCTCTATGGCGGGCAACGCTTTCTCCTGTGGCGTTTTTTCATACGACTCGGTTTCTGACGTAACTACTGTGTTGGTGAGAGCGCACGTATCCTTCTCTGCAGGTGAAGGTTCCGTTTTTGGTCGTGACAAGTCAATCTTGACATCCTTCGGAGTTTCACAGACGATCTCATCTTTGAGAGGGCTATCACGGCCATCTTTCGGTGCAACGCTGCTCTCTGATTTCTCAATTTCCTCCTCTTTTGATGAAGCAACTGGTTCAGGTACTGATTTCGATGCCTCCGGACTGCAAACTGGACGCTTGTCAATCTCGGAGTTCTTATCACATTCGTTTAAAGTTTCAGTCTGATCGTCGCCGACCGCTGGTGATGGATCTGTTTCCGCCTTCTGCAACAAATTCTCATCATTGTCTTTTTCCTGAATCTTGTTATCCGTATTCTCGTTCTCGCACGATTCTTTCACGAGGCTTTCCGTGTTAGGCGAAGCCAATTGCGTCACGAGTTTAGGCGTTGACGCGCCTATTTCTTCCTCTTCCCCTTCATCCTCATCACCGCCTTCGTACTCGCCAGAACTCGCAGATACCACTTCCGTTTCCGTAGGAACAGGTAGTCTGTTGTCCTCCGCACTCTCGTTCTTGTTGTCGCCATTACTGGAGTGCTTCGTGGACTGTGATTCCGGTACGGATGGTTGTTTATTCTGAACAGGTGAACTCTTCACGGACTCGGGCGGTGGAGATAACGACGGAGGCGGTATCACAGGACTCTCGGCTCTGTTCTTCGTGCTGGGGGATTCTGGCGTGAGTTGCGGCATTTTCACCGTCTCCACTGTAGTTTTACCTCTACCTCGCCTGGACAGCGATGAATTCTTAACGTCTCGTACCTCTTCTTTACCATTATAATGTGCTGTCTCTTCCTTTTTCTCCTTTGCCTGCATGTACTTGGTTTGTCTGCTAGTAACCTTTAACAAAATATCATCCACTTTGCACTGTTTCTTTGCCGGTTTAGGCGGACTCGACGTAGAGTCTAATTTAGGAGGTGTCTTTCTAGTATCAATCGAGATTTCTTTCGAAGAGTCTTTCTCTTTCGTTTTACTGTCTCTTTCTTTCACTTTTTCCTTTTCTTTTTCTCGCTCCCGTTCGGCTTCTCGCTCTTTCTCCTTTTCCTTTTCCCTCAGAGATTCTCGTGTCCTCTTCCTACTACTTCCGACTTCCAATTTCTCTTCCTCGACTTCAATCTTTTCGGAATGTTTTCGTTTTCTCAAAGGCGTGATGATTGATTCGGATAGCGTTTTAGGTGGTCTAATTCTTCTTCTCGACATCGTTGTTATTTGTACCGATTTCGGCGGAGTCGCCGGAGTTGCATTTCTCGACGAGCCAAGAGAGCGCGCGTTTCTCGGCGTAGATGTCGCACTCTTGGATTCCGTTTCTGCACGAGTATCTTTTCGATTCTCCGCGCTTTCAACATTACGGGTTTCTCTTACCGATTCCTTAGGTTCCCTTAATTCTTTCGCCGACTTGACCTCCTTCGTATCTTTAACATCTTTTTCTTCTTTGGACACGTCCTTGTGAGACGCCGCAGTCTTCTGCAAAGCCTTCGGTTTCAAAGGCGTCGATTTCCTTTGGCTTGTCCTCCTACCTCGAGGCTTCTTCTTTATTTTCACTTTTTGTATCTTCTCGACGACCGCTGGCATGGGCTTAGGTTCCACTATGGGAGACATTTCCGAGCCTGTGTCACCGCTCTCTTCCGAATTCTGATACGGATTAGGGATTTGTGTAAGCAACGGTATCCATCTGAGACAGTCCGGATCCAGTTTGATGCGAGAACTCCTTCGTACTTTCGTCATATGAGCATCTACCTTACTCCAATCGACTACCACAGCCACTTTAACAGTGTTCGCATCTCCTGGCAAATGAACCGACCTTATGAATCCGAGCAATTGCATCGCCGTGGCGATATCATGCGCCGACACGCCAGTGTCCTTTGTGATATCGCCTAATTTGATCTCAGTTTTATTCCGATGCGCATCCAGGTACTCGAGCACCACGCTTTTCCAAAAGGAATGATACGACACTCGACCAAGATCCGAAAGCGGTTTCTCCGGTGTACCCGGGATACCCTCGACCTTGGACAGCAGGTAACTGAATTCTATGAGAAACCTGCCAAAACCCTGTCGTTGATACTGCGGTAGAGTCATAATGCAAGACACGTTGTATCTCTGAGCCGGACAGTGTTTCTCTTTGCTGAAGTAACCGACCAAGTGACAGCCGTATTTGTCGTTCTTAGTCATGGCGTAAAAGAGAAATGGTTCTACGTCATAATAGAGAGTCTTGTGATCCAAAAATAACTTCGCCAGTAGACATAAATTTTGACAGTATATCTTGTTTACATTACCATCGATCTGTAATACCGAAATGTCTCCTTTAATTTTTCTTTAAAATGAAATGAAGAAGATAATAATATTTATATTATAACACGTACCTCAAATACAGACAATCCATCGCACCTGTAGATTTCGGTGGCGGGTGGATGCCTCCACTGACACTTGTCCATATGCCTATCCAGCACGGCCCGGCTTTTCGTGTATTTAAGACAAAATTCGCAGAAGAATAACTTCGGTAATCGTGCGTATTCTTGAGGAAACGGACTGGAATACCACGTGTCCACCTCGTACCGACCGAATACTATCGCGGCAGGATTTCGTGGTGCATTGCCAGACGCATTCGGTGTGCTAACGCACAATGGTTGTTCGTTATCAGCACTGTTGACGGTCAAGCGAGCTCTCTCACGTGCCTCCTTGATAAGATCCACGTCCTTTTGCGTGACTCCTGGTGGCAACGTCTGTGGCACAATTGGTTCTTCTGTAAAAAGAAGGAAAATGATTACGAGTGTTAACCGAATTCATCCAAGCCTGTAATAATTTTAATATTATAGTTCTTCAACAATTTGTTTTTCTTTTTTTTTCTTTATTATAATTGATACTATAATACTATTATACTTAATTACTGATACGTTTGCTTTACGTACGAGACACTGCTACCTACGACTGCAATAGTTTGTTGTATGAGAAAACATAGGAAAAATCATGTGTTCAATGTAAAAATCTGACGAACGGATTCAGAAATGAGAAATGTCATGAATAATATGTGAGTTTAATCGTTAAATATATCATTCGTGAATATAATTCAATAATTTTTATGTGCATGTCAAGATGCACGTTGAAAGATAAAGAAATAAAGTTACACTTGTACTGTAATAATTCTCTCTACATGCGAGATGTACGAAATGCGAAAATAATTTTATTGATTTTTTATTATTCGCAACTTGCCAATATTAATAATCTGAATAAACGAGATGTCAAAATAACGGAGTAATTAGTCACGTCCTGTTAGAGAAATCGGTTGGTCAAATAGGTAAAAAAAGGAAGCGAAATTAATCAAATATCGACTTAGCATGGTGACAACAATCTAATGTAATATGACAAAAGAATGCGAATAACAATTCGTTTGCCGTTAATAATGTAAGTAGTATCCAAAGCAAAGCTGTGGGTTAGATTAGTGGGATGTGTTGGCAGAGTATCAAAGTTGGCTCTTCGACGGCAGGAACTTCTTGTTTTTTTTTTTGTGAAGGGGTAAGGGGACGGTGGTTATACAACAGTGCCTGCTAAATGTCAGCAGCAGCAGGTAGGCTTCAGTGTGAATGGTACAGGAGAGCGGCTGAGTGAGATAAGCCACTTAGTGCCGTACTTCTTCAGTGCCTGGAAATTAGTTATTCTCGGTCTTTCTTTTTTACAAGGAGGGAAAGAATAGAGAGAGAGAGAATAAATCGAAAGTGTTCGATTAAATGTTGCACAGTATGCAAAAAATGAATTCTATTTTTTACGAGAAACAATCAAGACTGATCATTCGACTGATGTATCTTTTGGAAAATAGAACTTTGTTGTCTGTCTCTGTAAGTTGATTCACAAAATTGTAATGAAAAAACTTGTTTCACGCGTTGATGTACGAAAATCACATATAATGTAATAATCGGTCGATTAGTCAAAATAAGAAATAGTCCAAATGTACACAATGAGAGACTAAAAATTTTTCTGTAAAAATTGTGCGAATGTTATATGTGCATGATATAATACGTTTATATTTGCGACTATGTGTACTCGTGTATCCTGTATAAATATCCTGAAAAATGAGATGACTAAATCTAAAATAATAAATGCAGGATGAAGGCCTCTATGTAAGGACATATTCTTCAAAATTGTCTTAATATCTCTCGATTTAACAATCATCTTCAAATATACGTAGCATGGACAAAGGAAAAAAATGCCAGAGCCAAGTAATAACATGATTAACAACATGCAATAACCACAGTAATGTCCACAGTGTAAAACCAATGAAAACGAGTTCTTGGAAAATTGCTCTAGTAAAACTTATATATACATCAAATCATATTTTTTTTTTTCTACAATATATCTACGTGTTATCATTGATTTTACATCAGGTAGCAGATAAACGTCCTATCAAGAAACCTGATTGTTCCTGATGTGGTTAAAAATAAATTAATTCTATTGAAAATTTTTATAATCATTCATGTACAACATATTTAAGACTCGACAATATTTAGCTTTAACGACATCATCGGAACAATCACGTTATACCTGAAAAAAGTTACGGTCATCAGACGCACGTGTACCACACATCATACCACACCACACCGCCAACACATCCACGTGGTCGTGAGCGAGGATTAGATTAGAAGGAAGTCTTCATTGCGACTTTTTTTAGGGTGCATCATCGAGGTTAGGGATTTGTGAACGGGTGGGGTAGACTCTTACCCTTCCTGATGGAGCAGGGTGTCGCGCGGGGTGTCGTGGTGGTGTTGGTGGTGGTGGCGCTAGTACAGGCTCGTGGATTGGATTTTGGATTAGGACTTGTCTTGACGGGATCGGAACCGAGGCCTGAGGATTTCGCAACGGCGGATACAGGGTGGCGTATCTGCGTACTCGTGTCCGAAGCTGTTTGCTTCTTTCGTGATTGTTGCTGCTGCTGCTGCTGCTGCTCGTGTTTCGACGACGACGGTGACAATGGCTCGGCGGCGCATTTTACGAGCGATGGCGCATCGTCTCGCATCAATTTTCTCCTCTCGTGCTCGTGTCTTTTACTGTTTACCGCGGTTTTCACCAGATTCGAAGGTGTCATTCTCGGTAATTTCTCGTTAATCGAGCTTAATACACTCTCGTCAGAAGGTACAAAGATACCGGGTTTCGGTACTCTCGATACCTCGGTGATAGCTTCAGTCTTTTTTCGATCCTTGAGTTTACTCGTATTAGGTGATTCATCTGATTTGTTTCTCTGTGTGCTTCTTAGAATTTTGTTCGTTTTAGTAGTATCCTCTGTATTAGGCCTTTTCCTCCGGTCTGGTGCATAATTCGGCGCTGGTGCACCGGCCGATCTCGCCCTGCTGTTCGCGGGTGCTGAAAAAAAGTGACTCAAACCGTCGAAGAGACTTCTCAATTGGCCGCTTCCCGGTTTGACTTTGTTATCCGCGCTCGCGTGACCGACCGTCATCTGTGTGGCATTGCGTTCAGATTTCTCTTTCTTTTTACCATCTGACGGATTAGCGATAGCTGGCTGCTGTATGTGCAAACCGAAGGTTGGTGTATCGCCCACGTTAAGTTTAGGTAAAGGCGCGCCGAAAGTGTTTGTGATATTGCTGAAGAAAGACGATTCTACGTTCAGCTTGGCGGCGGCGGCGGCGAAGCCCCACGGCTTGTCCTCATTGAGGTCACAAGCGAATGGTGCCTTCGCCTTGGGAGATTCGATTCTCCCATCCGGGACTTCGTCCGACGAGGAGGAATCGCTGCTCTCACTCGAGCTATTGCCCTCCTCATCGTCCTCGTCATCCTCATCGTCATCTTCGCTACTATCACTGCCCTCTGAACTCTCGCTGCTATTACCAGCCTCGCTGCTGCTGCTGCTACTGCTGCTGCTAGATACTCGCGATGTTCCGATCTTTTTCGGATTCGCAGCACCGCCCCGGGTCGACCTAATATTAACGTTCCGCGAGGGCCTAGATTTATCACCGCCCCCACCCGCTTCAATTTACTGTGCTCAGCGTTAAATGCACTCAATCTAAAAAACTTTTGCTTCTCTTTGGAGATCCTGTCGTTCTTTTCCTCGAGTAGCCTACCCTGGCCTGCGAGTGGGGTGGGGGGTTGTGGTAAAGGAGAGGAAATCAAAGGTGGTTGACGAGGGGAGACAACACCCGCATTACCGTCCGAGCTGCTGTCCACCTGAGCCACTCCCGTGTTGCCCTTCTTGCCGGATTGCGCATTCGCGAAGGATTTTCTGGATACCATCGATCTGCAAGAAAATCATCGACAATGCGTATATTAATCTCTCGACTCTTTAAAGTCATATCACACCATTATATTTATCTCGAATTTAAAAATATTATCATATGATGATTACTGAAGCAAGCAAAAGAGAGAGAACTTATCGAATATATCCAAACACACTCACTTTCGATTCTCGCGTAACTTGCTGAGCCTCTTCCTCGCGTTTGTCGGCGTATCGTCGGTATTCGCATCCTGCGCCTTGCCCCGTTTGCCATCTTCCTTGCTGACGGGCGTGTGTGCTGTTTGACAATGTCGACACTTCCACGGCGCCTTGTTCTTCTTGTCGAGGGCGGGATCGAGACAGGCGGGATGGTAACACTTTACGCAGCCGGCGCACTTGACGAGATAATTCTGTGACTCTCGTTCCAGCTGGCAGCCGGCACAGGTCGGCGAACAGTCGTCGCAGGACCAGGTTACTCCTCGATCGACGAGCAGCGAGAGCTCCGGTGGCGCGCAGGAGTTGTGCAGAGCTGCGCCACAGACGCTGCACCTGCTTAGCTTCTCGTTGGCGTTACGTTTGCTGTTGTTGTTGTTTCCGGCCATCGTGGCGCCGAGACATTCCCTGCATATCGGCAATGGAGCTGGCAACTGCGGGAAACGAATAGAAGTCGATAAATTGATAGAATAAAAATATCCAAAGAAATATGCAAATAATTATAATGCGGAAAAGCATACAATATTAGTTAGAATTTATTGGACTTGTGATATGTGTCAACTCGATCTAGGTATTTTACGCTCGAGAGACCAACGTCGAATATTATTGAAAATTTTCTTCGTCATCTTGAAGAGGAAAATCCTATAAATTGCAAAGTGATTTAAACAGTGAAACTTTCGAAGCCTTCATACGCCAGCTGCGTATCAGTCACTGCATATCGGTGGCTCGATAACGTCTATCGTGTATACAAAAGACGAGTGAGTCCCGGTGCGGAACATAATTATTCATTTTGGTGGCGGTAACGCAGAAACGCTGCCTGGACGCGGCCGGGACTCTTATGCGTTGAAGGGGTGCATCTTATTAAGAACGCGTTACACCAAACGCGATTCAGCAACGGTAACGATAATTTCGAAGAAACCTACTTTCAGAAATATTTTCCTCACAATTGTGAAAACGTGTCGCGATTCAAGTCGAAATTATTTTCCCATTTTTTTATCTCGATTAGAATTTTTATATCTGCTTTGAAAATTTCGTTTACTATTTATTTCAAACACAACATAAAAAATTAATTCGTATAAAATAAACCTCCATCACAATTCTTTAGATTCGGGATCTATATAGATCTATATAGATCTTAAACTAAGTAACAGTAAAATTTCGACTCGGGAAGATATAAACGTTCTGAAATTTACGATTTTATATATTCTGGAATATTTCCAAACTTGCAACAAATTAAAATTATTTTATTACATATATATACCAATTATTTATTACATATATATACCAATAAGTGGCACGGTATTAAAATGATTCCTAGATTTTAAAAAAATTAAAAAAAGAATATTCAGCAATACAGACAGAAGTCACGTGCCTAAACGCAGGAAGCTTTCTGAAGAAATCGGCTCTTTTCGACCAATCAAAGAACTAAATTTCATGCGACAAATATTTTTTCCTCAAAACGCCGGCTCGCTCGAATGTTAAAAGTAAGGTGCAATAATCTAATGCAACATACACGCGCCGTGTATGTTTTCTTCGGCTGAGAAGACGGCGAATTAGAGAGAAAGTGTAGCGCGGGCGAGCAGCCTCAGTTTCTCGCGGCCGCTGCGACCTGTTGCGCGATCGAACCGACTCGCTGTATCGGCGCTTTGTATTACGCGTGCATTCGTGCGAAATGTTTCACGCGCCGACGTCGCCCGACGTTAATTTCATTCCGCGTCGGAGTCGCGCGAAACACGCTCCAGGTCACCGTGACTCCGGGCGGTATTGTCTGCCGCCGCGTGCGCCACAAATAACGACAGCGCGCCGGACATCTAAATTAAATTATATCCATTCCTAGCAAACGTGAAGATTAACTCTAATGTCCGTTTAATTTGCCCTCTTTATCTCTCTCTCTCTCTCTCTCTCTCTCTCTAGCTTTCAGAGCTAATAAAGGATAAAAAGAAAGTTAAACCGAGATTAAAGTTAATCTACCCTGATAGAAGTTAGACGTTAATTGTCAAATAACAACCATCACCGCTGTTGACCGGCCTCTAACAAAAATCTTGGATTGCTCATTCTTCTCGGAACGACATTTTTTAAATTGTAACTGATCAGATAGGCAATCGCTGAGTCACACGTTACCAGAAGCCCGATAAAGTTAATCCAGATAAAAGTTCAAAAAGTTTGTGCGCTTTTAACAATTGTGAAAAAATTTAGGTAGTTATTTGTAATCAAAATGTTCTTGTATATATAAATAAATAATAGAAACATTAATTAATTTATAGACTTAAGACTTTAATACCTAATAATTATTCTTTGAATTTATATCAATTTAATTCAATAGGCTTTATTTCTATCGTCAATGTGTAAAATATATAAGTTTTTTCAAGTCAAAAGAATATAAAGAATTGAAATTCATTTGAAGTCTTTTGATTTTTCCGAGTACATGGATTTATCGAGAATCTGTTCTTTAACAAAAGTGCATTTCTCGATAAGCGTTCTCGATAACTCCGCGGTACAAACAATCGTCATCTTAGCAAATTCCATTTCGCCGGGTCGCTCGAGAATCAACGACCGAGGTCACTCTTTGGGAGACGTTCGAGTTCGGGCACGGGCGAATTGGATTTATCCGCGGGTCAACGAGGGCTGTCGCCGACGAGCGTCGCGATCGACCGGGCGGTGGTTCTCGCCCGCTGTATAATTTTCAAAATGGTCGGTCTCGCAAAACAGCGCGCGGCTCGGCGATCGATCGCCCCCGCGGCGCGGCGATTTGCGGTGTAACGACGAGGTGGGTCGCGGAATAACAGAGAGAAGAGAGGAAAAAAAAAAAAAAAGCGCGGGAAACGCGGACGCCGGGCGACGTACGGCGCTCGTCGACCATCCCGGGGGGTGCCCACCTGATGCGTGACGGGGACGGCATCGCGACGCGGACCCGCGCGTCGGCGCGCCGCGATTTTTCGCGCTCGAAACACGCTAGGGAGGAAAGAAAGGGAGCGCGATTCCGCGGCGGAGGATCAATAAGAGAGAAACGTTATACAAAACGAGCCCGCCGGAAGTCACCCGAGATAGCCCATCGCGTCCCGGCGATCTCGACCTTTCCGTCCCGTTCCTGGCGGTGTTCTCCGGCCCTCACCCCCCCCCCCTCTCCTCCCATCGTCCCACTCCAGCGGTCGCCAACCGACATTCCCAACATCGCCGGAACGTGGGCACTACGGCGTGACCCGGCGCAATATTTTTCCGGTTTCGAGGGTTCGTTCTCGTTTGCGCGTAAACCGAGCGGCGCGTAACGCCAGCGACTCGGTGGGAAGAGATCCCTCGATTAGATTCGACAAGAGCGCCGAATGTTAGCCTCACGCGTTTTAATTTCAGCATCCTACAGCGAAAGGCGTGCGAGAAATTTTATGTCGATTACAAAAATATCCATCTCTCTCTATTCCATCTATCTTGGAGATTTCGGCACGAAGCTACTAGAGGATTAATCGGTGATGGATATACGTGTCCGAATCCACAGCGTTCCACATGTCCCATGACGAATATCATTCTTTATTTCCCGATTATCTCATTGCGATAATGACGCTCGCAATTGGCATCGAGAAAGTTAAATTTACTCGAGTACGCGCGCTTGAAAGTAACTGGCAATCGCACTGGTACGCGACATGCTCGGGTTCAAGGTCGTAAAAATACTCTGCGCAACTGTTGCTCGGAAAGGTGTTAACGAAGATAAAACCATGATGCGTGGCTAAAAGTTTGAATGAATGAACATATTATTCCTTTTCTTCCTCTGGTGGACAAATTAATTTTTGTCTAAAAGCTCCAAACTGAGATATTTTTCGCAATACATGATATACATGATATATTTAAAAAAATTTTTTAACTGATATCATTAAATTGACTATTGTGATATTAGGAAGATATGTAATTCTGACTTGGCTAATTATTTTGCAAATTTATTAATAACCAAGAAACCAAGTAGTTGATAAAAACAAAGCTTATTGAATTTTGTATTTAAAATTAAAAAATAATTATTAGGCACCGTATTCTTGCTTGGCTTTAAAATTCCAACACCAAAAAATTATTAGTAGTTATAATTAGAAATTTTAATAAAAGTTGTAACAGTTTAGACTTATGACACCGAGAAGAATAAATCAAGCCGAGATCAAGGGTTATCCAATGTTGATAAAACACTTTCTTCTAATGGATTGTGTCGAGAAGATATAAAGTACACGAATGCTATGATGCCTCTGTCGGTAATTTCGGGTCAGAGGACGACGCGTCTCCCAAGGAATGAGTCATCATCGATGTGCGACTTAGCTGGTGAAGTGACTCACCTTGGGCGCGGGCGCTTCTACGGGTGGCGTATGAGCGGCATCGCTGACCTTCTTGAAGTACGGCGGCATGTCCGTTTGTCGGAAAAGCTTGCCATCCTGGATCACTAGTCCTCGGTCGACCGCTCGCTTGGCGGAGAGTTTGAGGGCGATCCTAAGATCACCCTCGGCGTCTTCCTCGACCGTGTGACTCTGCCTGATATACTTCTCGATGCTCTTCAGGCTCGAGCCTTCGCGTTCGCCAAGTTCGCGCACAGCCTTGCCCAAGACCTTGCTGATGTCCGTCGTTTTGGTGACCCTGAGTTTCTTGGATTGCAGTATGATCGGGTCCTTGTACGAGGACTGACCCTTGTTGAAGATCTTGAGCACATCGCCGCGCTTTACTGCCACCTCCAGGTGCTCGGCAATCTCCTCCTCGTGGAAATTGTGATGCTGACGTATCGCGTGGCATATCCGCTCGACGCTCGGCCGTTGTTTCTGGCTGCGGATCTTCCGGATCGCGTCCAAAAACCACGCGGACCATGTCTCGGGCGACTCGGGCTCGTCCATCGCGTCTCCGTCGGCGGCGCGAGCGGCGCGGACGGGGACGGCGACGACGACGACGACGAGGACGAAGTCACGGCCAGTGCTTCCTCCTTTTCCTCCACCCCCTCCTCCTCCTCCTGTCGATGGGCGACGTCACGGTCAACGGCGGGCGTTTACATTCTGTTGCGACCCCTCGGTTTCTCGGCTTGGATGATGCTAAGGGGCCCTCACCGCCTCCTCACGTTTTCACCGCGGGCTATTGCGCTGACCCTGAAACGAGAATACAGTTGAACGGGGGTTGCAAAAGCCGCGCGTGGGAGTCTGCCGGGTTTCGGTCGTCGGCGCAAAATGATCCTTCCAATATAACGCGCGCCGCAAAGTAACATCTGACATTCTCTAACTCGACGAAAGCTGTCGGGCAACTGGCATATAACATCGTGCGAGAAGTCGATCGAATTACTCGCCACCATTTAAAAAGACATTTATCCACCATTTAAAGAGACTTATCAAGACGCAGAATTATAATTACGCCGTACGTGCGGTGAATTTCATTTTCATTATAAATGCCTAACAATCGCTCTCTTAGATCGTGTAGCAAAAGTAGAGCAGTTTCATCATCGACGGGATTTGATTTAAATACACGGGAGAAAAAGAGTTTTGATGAGATATCTAAAACTTTTGCCAGATATAGATCTAAAAAAATAATTTTGTTAGACCATTAAAATACATTCTACATAATTATGCTAAGACCAATTAGAAACGTTCAAATCTATTGAATATTTTTGCATTTATTATCATCATGCTTAAACGTTTTACGTAATAAAAATAGTTTTAGTGTAAGCCCAAAATTATTTTTAGATATCAAATTTTTAGATAGATTGTCAGTAAAAAATCATTTTGTCTGTATAATTTTGCACACGTTGCTTAGTCAGCAAACTTCGTATCTTGTAAAATTTTCATCGTCATAAGCGTGATGAAATATTGTGCAATTTTAATAAATAATATGATATCACTCTGCGTTGAACAGCGCGCTTTCTACTTTACATTATTGGCATTTCATACTAAATAAAATTTATTATATATAAATAATTTTGTTGATTGACCACTAGTGTGCATCTTTCTAACGTAAATTAAGTATAATCTCACTTGCTCTTTATCTTTTTTTAGTTCTTAAGAATTAGAAAGAGATAAAAAATAAATGGCACCGAGATTAGAATTAACATTAGACATCGATAGAAATGGAGGTGCGACAGTCAACGTGTTGACGAAACGATGCGCCTTCGATTCGTCTCGCGATCCTCGCATTCCATCGGAACCGAACGTGAAGAACGTCAGCTTCGCGTGCCGGCGACATGACATCGGTGCGCTCGGACTCACACCGGAATTACACCGGCTTCGGAATTTATTCGGGATTTATTCGGCGCTATTCTTTGTTCGCTGCTGACGTAGCGTTACACAACGCCACGCCACGATTTTTACGATCAGGTCGTGATTTTCGATTCCGGTTGTAAATGACCGTCCGGTTTCCCCGTGAGCGATGAACTTTCTCCTGTGCGCGCGAACGCGCGCGAAGCGCACGCGTGTGTGCGTGTGTGCGTGCGTGTGGCGGCGCTCATACAGCGGTTCGGAGCAAATATTTAAAATCACTGTGCCCGACAGCGGTATTGCGCAACAGCTCACAACTGCGTGCGGCTTATTAAAGTCGGTCGCGCGAATACGTTGAAACGCAGGCGTATCGCATCGAGACCCATCGTGGGGTCGTGACACGACGAAATACAATGAGAGCGGAGTGGATGTCGATTGATCCCCGCGAGATGATAATAATGAAAGGAAATTTTGAAGGTGTTACGTAGGATTTCTCATATCGCCAATCGCGATGTGGTCAAATCATTTGATCCAACTGGATCTTTTCTTGGAGGAGGAGAAAAAAAAAGAGACACTCATTTATTTCAAATGATTTGTAAACGTCAGATTAATAGATCTATAAATTATTTACAAATTGTGTAAGTTTAAAGGGAAAGAATACATCTGAGATAGAAAAATGATAACTGAGAAACCAAAGAAGTTTATCAAAACGATAAATAAAACCTGTTACCCTTCATCTATCATTTGTAATAATTTTAAATAATAATTATAATTTTTTTTATAACTTAACTTTTTAAGTTATATTCATAATTTCTTTTTTCAAAAAAAAATTAAAATTTGCTGACAAATTATTATCTTAATGATAAATATAAAATATTCATATATTCTCTAATAAATTAGATTCTTAATCTAATTATAATCATATTTAACTGTCATTTAATTAAATTCTTTTAGGAAATATATAAACGTATCTTAATCTTTAAAATTACAAATCATTCCTCGTTCTCCATTCTTTACTCTAATTCTCTCTCAAGATTAACCATCAGAAGACCGGAAGACATTACAATATTTCAAAGCCAGTCTATTGTAAGGCAAAAAACTGCAGTGATCCGGAAGAGATCTTTCCACAACGAACCTTTTGAAGATCCGTAAAAAAAGATACTCTCGCGACCTTTTTTAAAATATTACGTCAGCAAGATCATTTGAATGTCGAGCTTTCCAAATAATAAAAAAAAAATCAGAGTGGGCTGGCCAAATAACTCTCGTTAGTTCATCGAATCTTCGCCAGCGTGCGTTAAACGAAGCGTGAGAAACAATGTGTCTGGCATCGCGTGGCCTAAAAACAGTGCTCCCGCCGGAGCACGTACATTTAGCGAGCGTTTATTTAATGCGCACGGGATATACGTAATTCTCTCAGGTGAGCGTAACGGAGAGTTCGAACCGTAGGTCGGCCGCGAGAGATCCATTGTTCGAGGGGAGACAAAGACCACCCACCGTTTTCGTGCAATATCCATATCGCGATATGGATGCGCGTTCCCCGATCGTAAACGGAAATCGCGTTAAAAGATCAGGCTCACTTGGCGATTGGACAATAAACCGCGAATCCGGAATCGCAGCCTCTCTTAACCGTAAGTACCTTCTCCCTCACCTGTGTTCCTACACGTAATCTCACGTAATTGATTTTTTAATCAGCTCAATCCGAAAGTCGCAAGTCGGAGGACAATTGGATTCGTGCGTTGCGTGAAAAGGAACGAAGTTTTTGCTGAAGTATTCAAAAGTGGATTTGGCGAGATACAGACCTTAATATAATTTTGTTGTGTTGTGTTGTCATCAAAATGATTATGTAAAATGCACGAAAATATAGATAATTAATAAATTTTTGAAACATTTAAAAAATCAATTGGAACGTCAATTGGAACGTAAATATTTTCAACAAAATTATTTTCAGATCTATATCAGGTTGAATTTTTCAGAACATTTCAATAAAACCGTTCTTTTCGTTTTGCGTGGCAAATTTTGGAAATCACAAACAACCATGCCTTGAAAAATTATAAGTGAAATTCATCCGTTTGACACGTGGCGTTAGATACAAAAATGTCAGAGATCAGGGGTAATAACTTTCACGCACTTCTGGCAATGAACGACGCACGTCTGGACTCTCTGGAAATTCCCAAAATGAACGTTGCGGATCGGATATTGGATCTAAATGTCAATGGACGTGAAAGTTATCTCGACTGAAACGTATTCAGCGTCGCGATCGGGCGCGAGCGCAGCAAGGATTAATTATGCGAGAATCAAAACGACGACAGCTGTGTCGCAGCGATGTGGCTGCGATACGAGTTGACCTAGGCCAGTGATAATAAATATACCGGCAGTTTAAGCGCCGACACCCGCCGAGGAAGGAAAAAAAAGATACCCAGTGAAACCGGCTTTGCTCTTAAACCCTCGACCATCGGGGTTTCCTCACCACGTGCGTGCAAATCTATTCTCGAAAATGACGTCTGCGGTCCCCACTGGGGACAGGTCCACAGTTTCCCGCCAAAACTTTTCGTCGACTTCCAACGTTGAACCTTCTCGATCGTTCTCCGAAAGGAAAAATTAAGGTATCCATAATGACCTGATACTTCGTAGAAATTTTCCTGCCCTTGAACAAGTGGACAATGGCTGTTTTAAAATGATTCGAGCAGACCTGGAAAGATCTGCTCTAATATGAACAAAATTTTCTTTGGTCATATATCTATTCAGTCTTGTTAGAAAATTTTCTGAGAATTTCCAGATTTAATTTCCAGAAAAAAAAAAATATTTAAAATGCAAACTTAAAGTCATTTATTTATTTTAGCATGTGCATTTAACGCTTTCTAGTTACAGAAAGGAAAATCATTGACTAATACCTGGATTTTATGGAAAGAACGGTTTTGCTGAAACATCTCAAAAATGTGACTAGATTTGAAAATAATTTCATTAAGCTATGAAAATAATTAAGAATGTAATTGATTACTAAAATATCAAAAAATTTTGCAGTATTATTATGCGTACTATATAAATATTTTAATAGTTACAACAAAATTATTTCAGGTCTGTATCTGACTAATTTCGGTTAATTGTAAAAATATCCAGATATTAAGAGGCTTTCCTTCGTAAAATACATTAAAAAGTGCATATAATAAAATAAACTTATTTCAAAATTGCAAGTTATTTAAAAATGCAGGTTATTTAAAAATTCGCAAATCACATGTAAATGTACAAAAATATATGTCATGCTAATTGCTAATTTTGACGATTAACGGATTGTCAACAGCTTGCATTATAAAAGTAAAATTATTAAATTTCTTCTGAAAGAGAAAATTTCAAAGACTTCCTCGAGTTCCAATAAAATCCCCAATAAAAAGATTTTCAAGTAATTTCAAGAGTAAAAAAAGAGCTTTCTTAATAAATTTTTGCGATTTTCTAGCTTTTAGAGAGTAAATACTTCGTTTGGAAAATTCAACATCAATGTTTTTCTCAAAGTATTAAAGCGTGAACGTATAAATAGGATGGAGAGCCTCCTCTTGGCAAGTCAAGTGTATGGAGGTTTGTAAATCGATGAAAATCAACTAGAATATTTTAAAATATCCTGTACAATCGCGCACATTACTTTTCTTGATCGAATCAATCAAATTTCTAGATTTCGGACGACACGATTGTTAAATAAAACAATAAAAAAAAGAGGCCAGTTACGCGACTCATTATTATCGCCGGAAGAATGACGCGATGTGACGCAATTCGGTGATGCACTTCAAGGCTCCCGCTACATCGATGTCGATTAACGCGAATACTTATTATCTCAGTTTCGTCGTTCTATTTTTAAGATAAAACTACTACGTCTCTCACTCTCTCACGAAAAAAAAAAAAAAAGAAAAGAAAAAATGGCGTCACTAATTTAGATTCTTACAACGCTTGATCAATGTCGCGCGGCGAAGCAAATCTTGCTTATTCACACGTGGATTCGTCGCATTACTTTATACGCATTGCCAGCGGAGATCGAACTTTAGAAAGGGGAAACTCATGCGATCGAGAGGAATTTGAGAATCTCTCGATCATAGACGCTTTGCTAGAGTGCAAAGGTTAAAAATGCGTGTAAGCCGGCGAGAGAGCGAGAGCGAGAGAGAAAGAGATCTTCGGCGTCAGGTCGCGCCGTTGTGGCGTGAAAACGTCAATGGAATGCCGGCACGCGTTTATCGTTGCAGTTTTATCGTACGGCTTCAATGAAAGATACCATAGTATTCGCATCTTTACTACGCGAGTTTTTAACACTCCATTGACGAGCGCGGGTTCTCCCCCGGCATCACCGCGGCACGGAAAAAGAGGAGATTTATCGCGAATGAGACGACACACTTTCGAAGCGTGGCAACACCACGTGCGCTCCTCGCGAGAGAAATTGCGGGAGCGAGACGGAATTTCTCGAGGGGAAACCCAAGCGAGCCGTCAATTCCGACGGGAGCCGGTTTTCCGACGAGCGCGCGCGAGAGAGTAATCGGCGACGTAGCGATGGAAAACGTTACAGAACGGACGGCGCTTCCAAACCTGTTTCGAGAGCTCCGAATGGAAAAATTCTCAAGACTCTTGTTGAAACTCGTGCGATCCGGTAGGTCTTCGGTGGACGAGTTAAGGGTCAATTCACTGCGTAGGACAGAACGAACGGACGAAGAGCGAGCGACGGAAGGAGGGAGGGAGAGAGAGAGAGGGAGGCCGCGAGCGCGCTTTTCACTCTCCTCTCCGCCGTCTTTCTCCGCTCGCGCGCAGCTATCTTATTAGGCGAAATGAAATACCGGCTGAACGAACACGTCCGTCTATTTGTCCGTCGTTCGTCCGGTTAAGACGATGGGGCCGAGGGCGAAGAGAGGCCGCCGGCTGCATGTGTTTGTCGGGGCCCCTCTCACCCGAAGAACGAACGAACGAATGAACGAACGAGCGAGCGAGCGAGCGAATGAACGTACGAACGAGCGAACGAACGGACGAGCGAGCGACGGCGGCCGAAGGTGAGGACGCGGAGAAGAGCGGAGAGTGTGAGAGAGAGAGAGAGAGAGAGAGGAGGAGAGAGAGAGAGAGAGAGA